TCATATCCAATATTATCTGCCCCTAAAAGGATCTTTAGCGACTATTAAACTTGCCTTCAATATTATCTATAGAAGCATATATTATTGTTTCTAAATTTAGCTAATGAGGATATTAAATTTGCCTCTAATATTATTTGTGGAGGCATATAGTTTTGCTTGTGAAATTATTTTTAAAGGCTAAAGGCTTTTTTTATAATAAAAAAAGGCTAAAGGCTAGTAGATGTACTTTTGTATTTATTTATTGAATTGTTTTATTGTAAAAAAATTGATTCATAAATATTAATATATTTTACAACATTCCTTTGATATGACAATTGAACTATAGAGTAATGAGTGTACAGTGTAAGATTAAAGATTGAAGAGTAGGGAAATAAGAGTGCAAAAGTGGGGAAAGTAGATGCCGCCTAGCATTGGCGCTAATACGCTAAATACATGTGCCTTCAATGATATTGTCCTCTCCCGTATGAGTTTGGAGTTCAGTGAGATTTTCCTTCTCTTGTTCATGCTCCCTTCGAGGAAACCACCATAGCAATATAGCCAAGTCGCCGATTTAGAGCTCGCCCTCACAAATCTAAGCGGCTTCTCTCTAGATCTGAGCAGCAGAGGTCTCGTGTGTGATAATCACGTCACCCCCTTCTTTTTTGCGAATTCGAAGTGAAGGTTATCTGCAGGTAAGAAAACCAGCAAAACAAAGCACACACAGATAGAGTACCTGCATAAACAAGAAACGAAAAGCAACATCGTTCAGGCTACCAGCGAAGAGAGATGCAAACTCTAGTGAATTTGGGGTCTTCGTCGGGTGTGGAGGCGGCGCAGAGGCTTGTGTCAATAGAAGATCTTTCGTCACCGCAAGTATCCCTCCCGTCACCATAAGCTCCCACCCGGGCGAAGAGACTTCATGAGAGTGCGATTACAGAGGTTCAAGCGCTGCGATTAGGGATCTGGAATATGTCTCATATTTTGAAGGATTTGGGCAGAGTATTTTTCAAATATAGAGATCCAAATGAATCTAGAATCAAGACAGAGCTCTTCGTAGATGGGTCTTAAGGATCTAAAGATTGGTAGATCTAGCGAGGTTTCAGAGTTAGGTCTACTTACCATTGAGGACGCTAGTGTTGGATTTGAGGAAGACGCCAACAATGGGCTACAGGGGAGGGGGAGAAGGACTCTAACGGTGAGGAAGACTCGGCGGTGGTGACGGAGATGACACCAACGCCGGATTAGAGGAAGAAAACATCGCTGGAGAAGATAACAGAGGCCCTTACAATGTCAACTAGTAGAGGCATCGAAAGCGTAGCGGCGTCGGAAACGAGGAGTGGGAAGCAGGGCAACAACGACGAGGAGGTGGAAGCGGAGCAATGATGGTGAGGTGGAGGATCTGGCTAGAGGAGGAGAGGAGGGTCGCTTTTGGTTAAGTGAAGAAAGAAAAGATTGGGACTTGGGATTGGGAGGGATCCACTGAACGAAGGTGATTGACAAAGATAAAGAGTAAAGTAAGAAAGAGAGTTTTTGGGGAGGGATTGAGCGGGCCATGAGAGATTAGAGGGAAAATTGGCGCCTCTAAAAAATTGGAAATTTTGAGGTTGCAGCCAAAACTTAACTATCTAAAATAAAATTACCAAATTTTTTATTGATAAAAAGGCTTGGTAAACTATCAATTTGATAGTTAATTTTTGTTTATCAAAGGATTTTACTTTTTTGTTTAATATCGAAAGTGGCTATTGTAAATCTACCTCCATAAATGATAAGGTGCTAAAATGAAAAATAACAATTTCCAACGTAATATTATTTAGAGGCATATGCTACTAGACCTCAACCACTCCACCCCACCATCAATACAGCGACGAAATCGACCTTATCGCCGCCAACCTGCCCACTTTCCCCCTCCCGGAAGGAGGCCCCAAACAACTCCCCTTCGTCGCCATCACCCCCCTTATCCCCGTTTCTGAAACTTCCCTTCCTTTCATTGAGCTGCTCTCCCTCAATTGTCGCTGCCACCACCCAGCTCCAGATCTCCAGTTTATCGCCCCAATCCATCAATAATTGTGCTCCAGTATATCCGGCAACCAATTGAATCTCTGGAGACCAATTGAATCTGGTTCACGAACGTGCTCCACCCAGTAGTCATCAGATGCCTCCTGTGCATTCTCCTGTAGATGCAACGAGGCTCATCTTTGTGGAGACCTCAGACCTCATCGGTTTCTGGGTTGGCCACGAACCTCACGCCGGCGACCCAACATAGGGTGGAGGCTGGGATTTTGGAGGTGACAGAGAAGGGGTTGGGGAAGAACACCAACTCGATAACAGGGGAAGTATCTTGAAGTTCTGGCGAAAACACTGATTTCTTCAAGATCAGCTCCATCATGTGTTGGGCGAGGAAGAAATCGGCGGTCGGTTAATTCAGAAGAATGATGGGATTAAGATTATTCTTGGTGCGAAAGTAGATTAAGATGGGTATGTTGTGTGGGGGTAGAGACGTAGAGTCGTGTGAATGAGAAGGGGTGGGGAAGAAGAGAGGGGAAGGAGAGGGGTAACGAGTCAATAATATGGGTTGGGTCAGGGAGTGATTGGGTTTAGATTGACTTTTATGACATAGAGGGTTAATAATGTGGCATGTCTATTTTGTTTTAAAAAAAAAAATTGGGTGACTCAGCACCTCTGTTAGCCACATCAGCAGTTAACTGACGACACTAACGGAGTCTGACGAAGGTTAACGGAGAGTGACCAAAGTTGGACTGTGTACCTAATTTAAGTGACTATAAATTAATTTGAGTGGCAAACGTGAAATTTTGTAGCAATTCGAGTGACTGAACTTGCAATTAAGCCCATACTTTTGACTTTGTTCAAGTGGAGAGCTTAGCATCCATAGGTGGGGTCGTAGTCTAGGAGATGTTATCATCATCAATTGTCGTATCCTACGTCTGTTCTTTGTATAGATAGTTTGAATTGATTGTGTAGGAATGTGAACTCCTTATAATATGACTATTTTATACTATGGTTTCTTGTTATGATGTTCTTTAGTTGCTTGAGCATTTCTTTATTTATGCCAAACTTCAAAAAGGTGCGCCTTAGCGCACGGCTAGGCTAAATTAGGCACAAGGCGTTGAGGGAACGCCTTGACTTTGTCATTAACGCTAATAAAATCGTTGAATGTGCTTAATAGCTAGGAATTGCGCCTAATCACCAAAGAAGCGAGACTAGACGATGGATTGGTCATCTAAATCAGCTCCCCTCCCTCATAACGCAACGTTTTGTATGCTGGAATTTCCCTCCAGTGTTTTGGCTTGAGAGAACCAGATCAATTTCCTCCATCTTCGATTTAGGTTAGAAATCAAAACTCTAATCGCGCAGCTGCTACTCTTCCTTCTCGCGCTAGGCCACTCCATCGTTCTGTAAGCTTGCTGCTCGAAGTATCTCGGTGGTGCATGGAGAAGCTCGGACGTCATCGCTCAGTGCTGCAGGGAAAAGCTCGGTCATCGTCGCTCGGAGAAGCTTGTCGTCATCCCTATAAGTGGCTTTTACGGGTCTTTGCCTCCGCCTTATTTTCAATTCGAACTCTGCCACTGGTTGTTTGGATTGTGACTCTACCAATTCGATCAGGGGTTTGCTTCTGTTTTCCAAAGCTTGGAAAATTGAGCTTGGATGGAAAATTCAACAGACGGGGTTTGGTTTTGTCATCTGTGTGTTAAACAAATAAAAACCCCATCTTTGTAGAAAGATTAGACTAGTCATGCCATTTCAGTGGGCACTTGTATTTGACATTGGAGTTTGTAAGGCTGGATGGATATATTTTTCTTGTTCTTGTGATTTTGAAGTAACTGTTTCGCACTTTGTAAAAGCCACGACTAAAAAATAGACCAGACTAAATGAATATACAAAATTACAAATCTTATCCTTTCTTATTTGATGATTCTGAAGTACTGCTATAACATGGTTACATGGATGCTAATCTACATGTATGCATTAGTATCTATGGTGAATTCTGCCTTGCAATCTCTAGTTTGATTCGCTTGATTTCCAGTATTTCTATATTGATTTTTCAACTCCATTCACTTATTGTTTAGTGTTTCGACATTTTATAAACTTTTAATTCTATAAAATGTTCATTACTTTCTTGTTATTTGTTATGTTAAGTGTTTAACGGTTAAAAACTACATGTTTAAAATATTATATGAAATTCTAGAAAACAGAAAATATTTGAGAATATTTTTCATTTTTGCTCGGAACCCTAGGCGCGCCTAGACTACACTTAATCCACCTAGGCGCAAGTCAGGAGTCAAGCGCTTGCCTTATGCCTAGCGCTTTTTTGAACCTTATATTTATGTTTATATTTCAATGTTTGTGATTCTGTTGAATGATATTATTGTGTTTTTTATAATATCATCTAGGATGTTAGAAAACTACTTTCTTGTAATATCCCATTGACCTATATGTGTATGGGAGGATTGATTACCCCCTCGTACAAGTATAGAATCAATGCTCGATTGTTTAGATCACCAACACTTAACCAATTGCTATCCTTGCTTCTCTTTCTTAATTAGATAGTTGATGGAATGAAGCAAAACACGCATTAGCTAGCTTTTTTTCATCTCGCTTGTGGCAAAAAATCGGTTTGGAATGCTTTAGTAGAAGGGATAGGGCTATTCAATAGATCAATTATTGAGATGCATGATATGATTAAAAATTTAAGATGCATGTTTATGGAGAGTGATATTTTATACTCAATAACATTTTTTTTTACTATTATGCTTTTACTATTCCTTGCCTATAGAAATCTTCCATTGCTTTTATTAGTCGATATACGAGTAGTTATACATTAGAAAGCCTTAGAAGTATGACCGTAGATATTTCTAGGAGTTATAATTTGATTTTATTTCATATGCATTGATAAGACTACTACATGAAATGCTCGTCAAGCGCCTTTATGTGTACCACAAAGGTTATTTGGGAATATTTGTTGGTCCTTGGAATTTTGATAATGTGAAAGTCTGTTTGAATTGCTACAAACATATTTACATTGAATGCTTCCCAAAGCTTGTTACTTTCCTATCCAAATCAAATCCAATATGCTAGAAATACAACATAATAGAAATGATAAACTAAAACCTAGCTAAAGTGGATGAATTGAACACTACAAGTCTATAATAGAAAAAGACTAGTTGATTTTATGTATGTGCGTGATCATACATATTGATATAATACAAGATTTGAGAAAACAATTCCCGAAAGATACCACAATCTATGAGAGCAAATTGAATCATGATATACCATTTTCTCCAACCTTTTTGAATCAAATATACATGGATATTTACTCCTTCCAGAAAATATCAAGTCCACAGACCATATAATTCATCTCAACATTTACAATTCCATTCCCTTTTCCCTGTAATGGAAAGCCATATTTGCGGACACATATTCACTCTAGAACCTGCACAAATTCAATTCAATGACTCCATAAAAAAACAGTTGGAGATATTTTATCAACCATGAATGGAAAATTGCAGACTGGTCTTTCAAATGTGAAATTTCGAGGACAAATACAAGTTCTTGCATACGATATATTTTACACCTTAAGTGGAGCCTGAAGCTGCTGCAGAGGCAACAAAAGGTGATGATGAATTGCTTACATTCAAACGGTTGCTCTCTCGCTCTCTCCTGTTATCGGTATGAGCAGGGGAAATAGATTGTGAACCACCAGAAGTTCCAGTACTATCTCGACTCTCAAGACGCTCCATAATACGAGAAACACTTGCGATTCCAGCGTTCACTTCTCTCCTAACTTCAGAACCGATATCCGACAAGGAATTGCTTCGAGAGAAAAACCTCTCCTTCCACCCTCTCGTGCTTCTCGAGAATGATTCTCTATACCTCATTGATACTGCGCTAAGTTTAGACTTCAAAGATTCTGAAAATGATTGCAAGTCCGAAGATCCAGCTGCATCCTGACTGGGTAGTGAAGATTGCCTCGTATTTTCTCTATACATAAATAAACATCATGAATGACTCCACATTTCAAATATAAAAATTTGTATGCGAAGTGTACAGAGAAAAATTAAGGTATTATTGTTCACTTGATGAAACTAACCCTCGAGTAGTGTGCCTATTGGAAGACTCAGATGATGCATGAAGCTGAGTTGGCTCATCCCTGCCGCCTGTCAGAGGGGTCGATGGAGTAGCTATGTTGATTGCGGGTGGCTCACTTTCCCGCGCAACCTGTGGCATGGAGGAGGAAACTTGTCCAGTCCTTGCATTCCCATTATGAGGTGAGGAAAATACTAAGTAGTGTGGGCGGCGCTGTGCAGCAGCAGACCTACTTCTCTGGGTTTCCCTCCTACCACCATAATGACTTCTTCCCATGGCAGCAGCAGCAGCTAAGTGTTGGATTATGCGTTCCTCGAGCTCAGCCTCACTTGCGCCAACAGGCAACTGCATGGCAAGAACCTACAAGTGTTCAGTATTGTGAAACTAATATATTATACAAAGAGAATATATTTAGATTAATGATGGTGAAAGTAACCTACGTGTTGCAACTCAAAGTCTCCCAGGGTAGGGTGGCGGAATATGGTGGTATTTCTGGAAGCAGCTGCTCTGATTTTTCTCTCTCGTTCGACTGCTGCAAATAGTTCTTGGCTGCCCAATACATTTATATTTATTAAGGGAGTCAAAATTCACACACATAAAATGGAAAACAAGGCATTTTGACAAGAATGAGACCAACCTCGAGGGGTCCTTCAAACTAACTGGTTGCAAGCACATGGGACAATCTGAGCTTCTCTGGCACCTAAACATTAGAAATGCAATGAAAATATTTGAAAGTTTGATCCTTTCAGGAGTGAATTGCAAAAAAAACTGAGACCTTAAATCTTCCATATCCTAATTCGCCATCTCCCTGCCTAGAAATAGAGGTATATAATTAAACTAGTAACAGTTTTAGATAAAAGATAGTGATCATTTCTATTACTTACAGTATGAAATGCTATAAGATTTAAAAACTAGTTTATATATGAAGGAAAATATGCATGCAAAAAAACCGTACCCTAAAATCAAAAGGTTCAACACTCATACAAAATGATTGCCACATACTTCATGCAAAAAAATGGGGTAAAATAATGAGAATGGATGTGAAAGGGTGATCAGAGTAAGATAAGAAGGACACGAAAAACACATAATGTATGATCATTGAAGAATAGTGTACACGTCGACAACATAGGTAAAGGTAAATTCTTACAACATTCCAAAACTCGATAAAAAAATTGGAACCGGAGATGGTTTGAAAGAGTATAATACCATTCAAGGATGCACTGCAGGTGATACTCATGTCTGCATTTTGTCAACTGCAAAGACCAAACACCCGCAACACTTTCACATATGAACATTGCAAAGGTACACTAATATCTTCTTTTCTTATAATCAAACTATAAGAAGGTGATACTCATCCTCAAACTGTTTGTGTTTAAAAATAAGAGAATTATACATACCGTTGAAGGATCACTAGAGGTAAAGTCCTCAAGGCAAATGCTACAAGCATCCTCACACACATCCTGGATTCCTCCTTCCACAAAAGCTGCAGCTGATGTCATTTGAGCTCCTGATGCACCTTTCTTTCTCTCCTCCACCTCCGGAACCTTCACAAACCGCCACAAACAAAAAACCAACTCATTATTAAAAAAAGGATAAATACTATTTTTTAGCCAAACCTTTTTCTCATTTCAAAATAATAGCCAAATCTTTGGTAATACAAAATAATAGCCAAACCTTTTATATCTGTCTAAAATTTTAGCCACTCATATGTAACCGTTAATAACACCATTAACCAACACTCCACCTCAACATCCACATCAGTATATTTTTACTTATCATTTAAATTAAAAAAAATAAAAGAAATAATAATAGCCAAACTTGTGGCACAGATGCGGATAATTATCACCACCAGTCCATCACTTCCACCTTTCCTACACTTCAGTTAGCCACCTAAGATCCAAGTCTGCACAATACTCGCTAGCTCATCGTCATTTAACTGAATTATCAACAGAGACTTAACTGTTGGCTACTTATTAAGATTTCGAAAGGTTTGGCTACTATTTTGGAATGGGAAAAATGTTTGGCTAAAAAATAGTATTTACTCTTAAAAAAACTTGTTATGAAACTACATGAAAGAATTCCCCATAGAAATGAACAATCTTTTCAAAATCACAAATTACTGGAACAAATTTAAATAAAAATCAAATGAAAGCGAATCAATAAAACATCAAAAATAACAAAAAGCATGATAAAAAGACAAAAACTTAGGGTTAAAAGAAATTAGTGGGTAGTCCGCTAAAATAAAGAAAACTAGGGAGAAATTAAACTGAAGAAGATAATAGTATACCTCCATGGAGAGAATGGGATCGTTCCGGAAGACAATGATGGATGAGGAAAGGATAATCAGGAAGCAGACACCATCATCATCAAAAGATGGAGAAGGAAACAAAGAAAGAACAAAAAGAGAGGAGAGAAAAACTAATGGAATGAAGTGATCGGGAATGGAAGGAAAAGGTTTGACGGTCACCCTTCCCCTGACGTTGAGGAATGAAATGATGAGAATTGGTAAGAAAGAGAGATTCTCGAAATTGAAAGCCCTAAACTTTAGGAGAGGTGGAGATAAATTTTAAGGAATGACAAAAAATGGATGACGGTGGAAGAAACACCCAAACAAAGGTTAAAGAGAGAGAAGACATGAGACATGGCTACCTTTAGTACTTTTCCTTTTAATTATGTTGTTTGTTTTTTTCCCAACCTTTTTTCCTTGTTAATTTGTTTGCAGTTTTCACTTTCAAAATTGCAAGTCATTTTTGTTTTCTTTACTCTTAATTTCAACTAAAATAAACTTAAATCCAGAATTCTAATAAGACTATCTATTTTCGGGCACCCATGTACCATTGCCTTTGTAAATGGTTAATCAATTTTAAATCCTAAAAAATGATGCATAAATTTAAAATTATACTGTAATGTTTACCACTGATTTCTTATGGGTTATAAACTCATTTTTAATTTAAAAACAACATAATATATCAGATGTGCTAGAAATCGAACAAGTACATGATGTTTAATTTTTTATATATACGTGTCATAATTAAATTCATTCTCATTTAAGCCCCCCATGTTACAGCGCCAGAGGATCTTAAAAATATATCATTCAGAATCCAACATTAACTTTGCACTATCAAACAATGGAACCAATCGGAAAAAGAAACAAAGCCTTACCAAAAGCAAAAACATGCTAGCTATCTTAGTGCTGGAAACAAGCAACATCAACAACAAAATCAAAATTTCCCAAGACTACTTTCTGAACTTCCTATCTCAACATCACGCACAAAGCTTCCAAAGATGGGGTTGAGCTGCCAAAAATCACTAAGCACCTCTCCCTTCAGATACACCCCCTCCCCAACCAACACTATAAAAACCAACAAATGCACCCGTGTACATCGTTTCTTCTTGTCAAAGCAACAATTGTAGTAACACAAACATTCCACGGAATACCACCAAGCTGCGCAGCATGGTGATGATAGAGGTACTCACCTCAAAGTTGTTGGAAGCAACTTGAGGGTGTTGGATGGGGGACCTCATGTCTGCGGTGCGAGCGGTCCAGTAATAGCCCATGGTATGCTCCTCGAGAATGACCACATCATTGTTCTGTGGTTCACCCATTTCTTTCTCCTCGGTGATGTGCAGTTGCTCCAAAACTTCCTCCGCAGCCAGTCGTGCCTTCAAAGTCCGCTTGAGGTTATGATAGGTTCGTTCAATCTCCTGGTCCAATGGCAGTAGATCGCCCGACTGGATACGGGCCATGCGCTACCTGCACGCAATAAGAAAAAGTAACCCATGAAAGCACACAGGTGGAAGAGAGGCTCCCCGGCAACGGCGCCAAAAACTTGACACGCTACGACACAACACTAAACTGCGACCAAGTGTAATCGCAGAATGGAAATGCAGAATAGTGGTTAGTTTACTTTATCAACCCGAGGTCTACATCTACTGCCTACTCCGTGATTATCTATTATCTAGCGAGAAAGATTTAGTGAATATGATTTAAAGCTAAAGATGATAGGAAGCAGTAAATTTTTCGAAGTTCTTAAGCAAGGGAAGAGTCACTCGGGAATGAGTTCCCCTAGCTCCTTAGTTAGGTCCAAGTCGTAATTTCCTATGGTTGCTTTACCTGTTGATTAAACTGCGGAATATCTGATAGTAGCTTGGAATCTCTTAAGCTGACCAAGCCCTCTTAGACAGACTAACCGGCAGACGACTAGTCTTCACCGAGATAGAAAGCTAAGGCAGTTAACACAGAACTCCACTATTGGAACTGGATTCCAGTGCGAAGCAATGGATTGACTAACTCTTATATAATCAATTCACTATTACCGATTGAAGAATCTCTAACAACCTAATCAGATTCTATCTATCTCAGGTTGCAACAAAAATCAAAAGAAGTTGATCATGATTCAACTGACTCAATAAACACACTTCAATCGATTAAAATCAAACAGTATCTCAATCCAAAAGTCATTACAAACATTATCCCTAACACATGGAACTAGGGTTCTTCATACCCAAGTGAGAGAGAGTTCTACTACATAGAGAGAGGGGAAACAGAATACAAAACAGTCATACTCATAATGATGAGAAGAATCTGCTCTGGGATTATGATCTTCACTCCAAGGACGAAATCCAAGCTTGATTGATGAAACCCAGCTCCAAATCAATCCTAGGGTTTGTTCTTCGCACTTTCTCTCTCTAAGACTCTGTTTTTGCTCTGAAAATCTGAATCCCTCTTCAAAGACTCGAAATTGGGTTAAAAACCCAGTATTCCACGACCAAACGCCCGTGTGAAATCCCCAGCTTGCCCGTGTGAGTCCCAAACCGTGGGGTTCGATTTAGTGACGGAAGGTGTGCCACACGGCCAGAATGGCGCGACCGTGTGGAAATCTGACCAGCCCGTGTGGCGTCTCTGGAAATCCAACACGGCCAAAAGGGGTCCTTCCACGGTCAGTGTGGCCTTGCCCACGCAAAGGAGTGCCACACGGGCGTGTGGAAATTGGGTCAGCCGGTGTGGTTTCCTTAGCTTTTCATCAAACGTCTCAACTTCGTCCATTAATCCACCCCGAACTCGTGCCCAAACCTTCATTCGTGTACTAGAACCTGAAATATCAAAAACAAGAGCACCCTAGCGTGAAATCGGTTTAAAACACCTGAAATGAGACTCAAACAGTGTAAGAAAGGTGGACAAAAATATGTGTAAATATCGAGTCATCACCCATCTTGATGGAACTACCTAAACAATGTTTCTTTTATTGTTTTTCCTTTTCTTTATAATTTTGTTGCTTGCATTAGATAATATAGTGTTGACCATCTACTAGGGAATCCCAATCCATTGTGTTTACTTTTTTGCATGGTCATTAGAATATAAGGTGTTAGTTTTTATTGGTTACTGCACTCGCTAAAACACAACACCAAACTACAACCAAGTGTAATCGCAGTTCAGAAATGCACTATAGTGGATTAGTTTTACTTATCAACTCGGGGCCTAGATGTATAGCCTACTTCGTGATTATCTATTATCTAGTGGGAAAAGTTGAGGGAAGTGTTCAAAAGAAAAATAAACAGAAAGCAGGAAACAGTTGTATTTAGAGTAACAAGGCTCACTCGAGTATGAGTCCCCCTAGATTGCAGGTAGGACAAGTTGTAATTCACCCAAGCCAAGTTGGTTGATGTTTAAACTACGGAAAGTTCTCAAACAGTCTGGATCCTCGACTAAAGTGCTCCAGACCCTCTCAGTTTGAATACCCGGCGAGCGACTAACCTCCACTGTAGCAAACTAACTAAGGAAATAAGATTCAAACTTCCTCTAGTGGGTTTTACCCCAATACAGAGTAGTGAATCGACTTCTCGACTAAAGTCGCTGATCCACTACTTCCAATTTAAGATGCTCTATTGACCTATGCAGAGATTATCTTTCTAGGTCAAAGTAGGAATCACTAGAATTTGATCAAGAATCAAGCAATTCTAAAAAAATACTTCAACCGGATATATAATCAATCAATCATTCATGGAAAAGGGTTCATACAACTCTTCCTAACATACAATCTAGGGTTCTTACATACCCAAGTGATAGAGGGGATTACTCCATAAAGAGAGAGAGGAAAGCTATGTCGGATGTAGAAATCATCGTGTAGATGGAAGAAATCTTCTCTAGGTCATCAATCGTCACTCCCCGAGGCTTGAATCGAGCTCCAATGATGGGAAAACTTTATCTAGGGCACTCAACAGTCTTTGTTGGGCGTTACCTTGGATAATTATAAGGAAAAGGTAGACGAAAGTCTAGTCGAAACCTTGAAGGAAGAGATTGGAGATTGCTTCTTACGACCACTCCTTGAACAACAGGGGGTTCGACTCCCCCGTGGTCGCTTTCTCTCTCTAAACTTCTATTTTCAGCTTCAAAACCCGTGTTCCGCTTTTAACAGCCCGAGTTGGGCTTACCCGGTCCAAATACCAGGTTGGTTATTTATGAAGTAGACCAGGTATTACTTAAAACGGTGCACAATAGCTCTCATCGCAAGGGGAAATACTCGACCTCTGGGTGAAATACCCGGTTGGCTATTTGTGGTTCACGACCAGTGGGCCTCCTGGGTTCTCCTGGGTGACCTGACCGGGTATTTTGCCTTCCAACTTCACTTTTTGCCATCTCTACCGGGTATATTTAGGAAAGACTATGGTGGGGTTGCCTCTCCACAAGCGCTTATTTACCATCTTTTAGCTGGACGTAGACGGTGGATGATCAGAGCGGATTAGGCGCAGGTGCCTCCAAGAGCGGATTCACATCGCTCTTGACGTACAACTTCAAATGGTGGCCATGCACCCGGAGGGTGCGGCCATCATCATTGGATAACTCGACCTGGCCATCTGGCAGGATGCAAGCAAGTGAATACGCAGATGGCAAGGGTGGTCGCAACTCAGAAGGTGAGACCAGCTTATATTGGTCTTCATATGTCTTTTCGCCACGCTTGGATGCCTGCAAATTTAGCCAACACTCTTCCTTGAGCTTGTTGTTTTGTAATTGGAGAACGGGAGTGTCGGAGAAGGAATGGGGGCACAATTTTTTCAGAATGGGAGAAATAGAAGGATACATGACATACTCGTGCACCTGATGAGATAAAGCATGCATAGGCCAGAGAGCAGTCATGTTATTAGCAATAGACAAGGTTATCTGCTCCTTCCCATCTCTCAAAACTAGGGTCCCATTATGCACATCAATAAGAGCTTTGGTTGTGGCCCAAAAATGCCTACATAGTATAAGAGGCACTTATGCATCGTCATTGATGTCTAAGACAACAAAATCCGCAGGATAAAAGAATCTGCCAACCTTAACTAGCAGGTCTTCCACTATGCCTCTAGGATGAACTATGGATCGGTCAGCTAATTGAATACTCATCCTAGTTGCACTTGGTTCACCTAAGCCTAGTTTCTCGAACAATTTATAATGTATAACATTGATACTAGCGACTAGATCCACCAAGGACCTCTCTACATGCAGTTTACCAATAGAGCACGAGATAGTAAAACTATATGGGTCCCTCTACTTTAGCGTAAGCTTGTTCTACAGAATGGCTGAGCACT